GGATAGGAGATAACGGGAGAGGAGAAGGGGAAAGGAGGGGAGAAAGAGGAGGAGAAGAGAGGGAGAGACCGAGGGGAGAGGAGGGTGGGGAGAGGCGGAGAGGAAGGAGGGAGAGAAAGAAAGGAGGGTGAGGGAGGAGGGAGGGGGGTGTATCTTTAATGGGGGGGAGGGGGGATATTTTTGGGGTTACGGTGCCGTTTCAATTGGAGGGTCATGTGATTTGTTGTCCCGGGTTGTAGATTGAGATTCGTTGTTACTGTTGTTATCATCATTGTTGTTATGATCGTGAGCCTCATCATCATCATTAACGTCATCGGTCGCCATTGTCATCATTGGCGCAATCACCGTCATCATTATTAATTGTTTAAATTAAGATTAATCTCTCTCTCTCTCTCTCTCTCTCTCTCTCTCTCTCTCTCTCTCTCTCTCTCTCTCTCTCTCTCTCTCTCTCTCTCTGTCTGTCTCTCTCTCTCTCTCTCTCTTCTCTCCTCTCCCTCTCTCTCTCTCTCTCTTCCTTCCTGTCTTCAGAGAGCCCCTCAAAATATAGAAAAAAATTGGAGAGAAAAGATCGAGAGCCAGAGAATAAGTAAAAAATCTCTTAACGAAAGAGCCAAAGCCATACAATAAGACGAGAGAGAGAGAGAAAGGAGAGAAAAAGGAGAAGAAAAGAGAAAAAAACGAGAGAGCGCGCAAGCAGTCGACACAAAGGCCCAAGCAACGGTCTCTGCCAACAGCCGCCGCCACTCCATCTTCTTCTTGCAAATATTCATATTCCTCCTTTTTTTCTCTTGTCTTTTTTTATCTTGACAGAAACATCCATCGCCATATCTCCTTATCTCCTTCGCCTCGCCCTTTCCCCTCCCCTCCCCTCCCCCCCTTTCCCCTTCGCCCTCGTCTCGCGCTGACGAAGGGGAGCCATTTTAGGGACCAACGATTTCCCGCGCTTTTGTTCATTTGAGAAAAAGGGAATGAAAGTAAATGGGAAATATTTGCGGCAAAAAGAATGTAGATAGAAAAAAAATATTAAGAAAAAATGAGTAAGAATGAAAGAAAATTGAATAGATCAATTTGAAAAACAAATTGATGGATAGAGAGATAGAAAAAAAACGTAAAGAGAAAAATAGATGAAGAAAATAATTGAATTGGATAAAAAAAATGGGATAAAAAAAGGAAGAAAATGTATATGTACACATCTTTTTATTTAAAGAAAACGCGACGTTCGTATCGCTTTGAAAGCCGACTGGTGAATGAACTGCTGTTGCATCTTGCTGGTTCTTCTCATACATGTTGCAGAGGACGAGTCGGAGGAGCTGCAGGGGAGAGCTTTCTTGCCGAGGTTAATCTTTACGAAATATTCTGCGCACGGCAATTAAGATGAATGATTTTTTTCTCCCTTCTTTTTCTTTTTTGGCGGGAAGGTACGGAGGTACGGGCGTATGTTTTTTTTTTTTTTTTTTTTTTTTTTGTCATAAGGTACGAGCGTATCTTTTATTTTGTTCTGTTTCTTCTTTTATTTATTTCTTTGATATTTTTTAAGAGGGAGGTACGAATGTATATTTTTCATTATTATTATGATTTTGTGAGAAGGTACGTGCGTATGTATATTTTTGATGATAAGGTGAGAGTTTTTTTTGGGGGGAGGGGGAAGATGCGAGTGTCTTTTCTTTCATTCTTTTCTTTTTTTCTTTCATTTCTTTTTAGTGTGTTTTTATATGAAGGTACGAGCGAAAGTCTTTCTGTGTGTAAATGTGCATTTCTGATGAATTACATTTTCTGAGAAAAGAACAAGGGCATATTTAAATCTCCTAGGTACGTGTCTCTCCCTTTATATAGAGATAGATAGATAAATAAATATATACATAGATAAATATATAGATAGACATGTAGATAGATAGATAGACAGATAAACATATAGATAGATATATAGGCAGACATAGATAGATAGGTAGACATAGATAGATAGACATATCTCTAGATAGATATAGACAGATAGGTAGATAGATACAGATTTTTGTTCTTAAAAATAGAACAGCAAAGAACACGCGAAATGACCCTTGTGTCTCCCCCCCCACCCCCCCACCCCCCCACTCGGCCATTGTGGCTTCACGGCACGAAAAATTTCTCTTGTGTTTTTAACCTTCTGCTTTCTTTGTCCTCGCGAAAATAACTGACCATGTCCCGATTCAGGCGGTAACAATGCTAATCTCTCTCTCTCTCTTTCCGTTTCTCTCTTTTTTTCTCTCTCTCTGTCTGGTTGTCTCTCTCTCTCTCTCTCTCTTTCCGTTTCTCTCTTTTTTCTCTCTCTGTCTGGTTGTCTCTCTCTCTCTCTCTCTCTCTCTCTCTCTCTCTCTCTCTCTCTCTCTCTCTCTCTCTCTCTCTCTCTCTCTCTCTCTCTCTCTCTCTCTCTCTCTTTCCGTTTCTCTCTTTTTTCTCTCTCTGTCTGGTTCTCTCTCTCTCTCTCTCTCTCTCTCTCTCTCTCTCTCTTTTTCCGTTTCTCTCTTTTTTCTCTCTCTGTCTGGTTGTCTCTCTCTCTCTCTCTCTCTCTCTCTCTCTCTCTCTCTCTCTCTCTCTCTCTCTCTCTCTCTCTCTCTCTCTCTCTCTCTTTTTTCTCTCTCTGTCTGGTTGTCTCTCTCTCTCTCTTTCTCTCTATTTGTCTCTGCGTCTGTCTCTCTTTCTTCTTCTCTTTCTCTTGTTTTTCTCTTTCTCTCCTTCTCTTTCTCTTTAGCTTCATTTTCTCGCTTTTTCTCTTTTTCTTTCTCTCTTTCCCTTCCCCCCTTTCCCTACCCCCACCTCCTTCCCCTTCCCTCCCCCTCCCCCCTCCCCCCTCCCTTCCCCTCCCCTTCGCTCCCCCCTCCCCCTCCCCCCCCCCCCCCCCCCCCCTCCTCCCCCGGCGCCGCCCCCGTGAGGCCTTCGCGCGGGTCCTTCCTCGGCTCCCTCGCCAGCTGCCGCCAGGGGTCGTCAGGAGAGGCCTCTTGGTTTGATTCTCTTGGTCTTTGATTTTTTGTTTTTGTTTTTATGTTTGTTTGTTTTCGTGTTCGTTGCTTGTTTCGATTTTTTTAGTTCGTTGATTTTTTGTTGTTGTTTTCCTTGCCTCTTGTTTTCCTTGTTTATTTCTTCTTCCTTCGTCCTTTTTCCCTCTCTTGTTTCTTGTTGCATCCTTCTTGATTCGTCCTTCTTGCCTCTTTCTCCATGCTTCTCGCTTCGTTCCTCTTGCTTCTCCTTCCTTTGCTTCATCTCTTGTTTCTCCCTCCTCCTCGCCACTTGATTATTGCCCCCCCCCCCCTTGCTTCCTCCCCCGTACCTTAATGTAATCGTGTTCCTAATATATTTCATCCGACTTTCATTATTTTTTCGGTCCTCTTTTCTTTTCTTTTTTTCTCTCTCCTTTTGATGCTCTTTCTTATTTATTTATTTATTTATTCTGTTATACCTTTTTCTTTCATTTCCTTCGTTCGTATCCAAAAGCGGTCTCGTTGTTGTATCTTCTTCTCTTCCCCTTTATTTTCTCTCCTTCCTCTATTTCTACTTCTCCTCCTCTTATTCTCATTTTTCCTTCTCCTCCTCCTTCCCTTCCTCCTCTTCCTCCTCCTCTTCTTTTTCTTCTTACAAATTCTCTTCTTATCCCCTTCTTCCTCCTCCACCTCCTCCTCCCTCTCCTCTTCCTTTTCCTCTTCTTCTTCTTATACCTCCTCTTCTTACACCCCTCTCCCCCCCTTCCTTCTTTTGATTAATATCCGGAGGAGGAGGGGGAAGAGGAGGAGGAGGAGGAGGAGGAGGAGGAGGAGGAGGAGGAGGAGAGGGAGGAGGGGAGGACAAACAGTTAATAGGAGTGACGGCAGAAGTCGGCGCGGCGATCATTGTCGGTCAGACGGGGAGGAAGGAAGGAGGGAAGGGAGGGGAGAGGAAGGAGGGAAGGGAGAAGGGAAGGGGAGAGAGAGGAGGGAAGGGAGGGGAGAAGAGGGAGGGCATGGAGGGAAGTGGGGTAGGACGGGCGAGGAGGGAAGAGGGGTAGAGGATTGAGGGAGGGAGAAGGGAAGGGGAGAGGGAGGAGAAGGGGAGGAGGGAATTAGGGGGAGGGGGAAAGGAAGGAGAAGGACAGAAGAGGAGGGGTAGAGAAGGAACAGGGAGAGAGAAGGAGAGGAGAGAGGGGGGGGGAGGATGAGAAGGGAATTTCCGGTCGCAGCCTCGTCCCCTTGATGAGTTAAGGAGCAGGAGGAGGGGTAGGAGGGAAGGGGAAGAGGGAGGAGGAGGATGACCACAACTTGTCGCGTCTCTTTGAGGGTTTCCGACGACGCGACGACGAAAAAGTCTCCGCGCAGGAAACCCCTATTTGAGAACGTAATCGCAGAACCCTTTTTAAAGAGAGGGTTTCTTGGCCTTTTTTTGAGGGGGGGAGAGGGTATGGGTAGGGGGTGGGGTCGGGAAGACTCATTGCTAATTTTCTGTCTTCTCTTCTTCCTCTCATTCTTCCTCTAACGTATTTCCTCTCCTTTTTCTATTTTCATTCTTTTCCCCTTCATCTCCCCCCCACGATCTTCTCCATCTCTCTTCCCCCACCTTATTCCCCTTCTTTTCCCTCTCCCTTTCCCTCTCTCCCCTCCTTCCTTCTCCATCTCCTCTCTACAAATGGGTTTTCTTTTGCTTGTTGTTGTCTTCGTTTTCAGTCGCTCTCTCAAGCAAACTAAGGCAAAGCTGTGTTTGGAAATCTTAAGGTCCAGTGTATACATAACATATGTGTGTGTGTGTGTGTGTGTGTGTGTGTGTGTGTGTGTGTGTGTGTGTGTGTGTGTGTGTGTGTGTGTGTGTGTGTGTGTGTGTGTGTGTTTGTGTGTGTGTAGGTATAGATAGATGTAAATATAGAATATTAATATTAATTTGAACCAACATTGTTTTTGATATAAGCACTACTTTCAGCCACTATATGTACAAACAGCTGTAGATACTAATTCCAAGCGAGTCCAGGACCGTCCGTGTAACCTTCCCTCCCGTTCCTCCCGCAGACGCATGCGGCCTGAGCGACCTGGCCCACATCGAAGGCCTGCAGGAGAAGTCCCAGTGCGCCCTCGAGGAGTACTGCAGGACCCAGTACCCGAACCAGCCCACCCGCTTCGGCAAGCTCCTCCTGCGGCTGCCTTCGCTGCGGACCGTCTCGTCCTCGGTGATCGAGCAGCTGTTCTTCGTCAGGCTGGTCGGGAAGACGCCCATCGAGACGCTCATCAGGTGAGGACTCTCGGGGGCTTGTCTCGTTTCGTTTGAGTTTATGCAATAAAAAAAATGTGTATATATTTCAGATTTGGGTTTATTTTATATATATCTTTTTATGTTATTGTCATTATAACTATTACAGTTATTATTGTTATTGTAATTATTCTTATGAATACTGCTCTTATTATTATTAACATCATTATTAAGATTGTCGCTGCCATTGTCATTATCAGTGTTATTATTGTCATTGTTATTCTCTTTGTTGCCTTCCCTGCTGACCGCCTTCCCTCCGCAGGGACATGCTGCTCTCCGGATCGACCTTCAACTGGCCGTACATGGGCAGCATGTGACAGGCAGCTCTGGGCACGAATCCCACCCTTCCTCCGGGGACCGTGCCCACGTCGGCTGCTTCTCACGCCCTCACCTCCGCCGCCCACGCCCTCACGTCCGTCGCCCACGGCCAGACCTCGGCGCACGCCCACACGCCCGTCTCCTCCTTCCAGCTGCCCACCCTCGCCACGGCCTTCCGGTGATGAACCGCGGACGCCTCGCCGCCGCCGCCGCCCGCGCTCCCGCCCAAGCTGCACCGCGCCCCCCCGCCCCCACGCCCGCCCTCGCGCCCCTTCGCGCGCGCGCCCGCCCACACAACGACCGCAGAGGGCCTCGCAAGCCCCCTCGCCAGGCTAGGAGGCTGGCTGTCGCCGCTGGCCGCCCCGCGCGACGGCGGCGGTGCGGCCAAGGACGGCGAGAGCGGCGGCGGCGGCGGCGGCGGCCCGTGGAGCGGCGGCGGCGGCGGCGGCGGCCCGTGGAGCGGCGGCGACAGACGGAGGGACGCCAGCGCCTCGCCGCTCGAGCCCCCAAGAGGCCTGAGGATCCTGTGAGCGAGGGGAGGAGCGGCTGGAGGCGCGCACATGCGGCCCTTCGCCGCGGCGGAAGGAAGCCTCAGCGGCGGGAGCGCCCCGCCCGCCCCGCCCGCGGCCCTTGGCGGGTCGCGGGCGCCCCGCCGCGAGGAACGGCGCCCGGCGGAGTCCGCGGAGACGAACACGGAAGCCCACCGTCGCCCAAAAGACAACCAAGGAGGAAGTGAAACAAAGAAAAGAAAATCGAGATGCAAAGCATGTATTTAGAAACACAGCAAAACAGGTGTTGTAACGGAAACGATCAAAAGAAAAGGAAAAGTGAAAAGGTCCGTGAGTGGTCAGCAGCAGAGGACAACCGACCCTCGCGGGTTCAGCGAATCCGTTGAGGAAAACTGTGCATAAACTACCATGTACGCGTTACCTGTTCTTGTATATGTGATAACCAGAGACCCAGGACTTGACCCCAACGCAAGCGACGTCTCTGGTTGAATCCATGTATATTTTGTACATAGTAAGAGATAAGGTTTTATACTCGGGTCGCGCTGGCTGGGTTGACCGCCACCTCACTTGTACAGGAAACCTGAGCGTTTGAGAAAAGTGCTCCCAGCGTCCCCTTTACTCTGCCCCCTCTCCCCTCTCCCCCTCCCCTTTGCCCCCTACGCTCTTAGAGGAGAAAGAAAGAAAATACAGATACAACTTTCTTCTTTTTTATATTTAAAAAAAAAGTTATATCATTTTGTGAGAAGGACGAAAAGAAATGAAAAAAACTTTAGGAGAAGAAGAAGAAAGGTGAAGCGAATTGTGGCACTTCATTCGTTACCAAAAGGCCTCGTCCACGGGGGTTTGGCGCGAAGGGAGGCGCCCATCGGCTGGACCGCGATCCGAGCCCACGTCCCGGTTACGCAGATTAAACTTAGATTTTGTGTCGTGTGCGCAAAGCTGAGGGTAATCTCAGATATTTTTTTTTCGTACTGACAGTTGTCATAGCCCCCTCCCCCCCTATCCAGATCAGATTTTTTTTCTATATTTTTTTTTCTCTCTTTTGGTATGCCGTGATCAATCATCGTGTTCACTTGCCAGAGATGTTGAGATGTTTCAGATCGGGTTTTTGTGATATGTCATGAAGCAATATGGAACTGTATGAGTTGATTAGGTTTATAACAAGAAAAAAGGAGTGAAATGTTTGTTCCATCTGTAGGCGCAGGTTACCACTCGGAAGCATCGCCACGTTCACTCCGATCTGGCCCAGTGACCGCCTCTCCTGGCCTCTTGCAGTCCAGCCCTCTAGAGGTCTCCTGCCACGGAGATCTTGCAAGCTGTGAGGTATTTCTGCAAGCCACTTTCTCTACTAGCAGGCGTCGGGAACGAAATCCGAGGAACGAGTAGCGGTCCGCTGACTAGTGGTTTGGATCCTGCTAGCCAGGGAGGGACCGCCGCTCGCCGCCTCACGGCTAGCCGCTAGTAGAGGCCTGCGAGCTGGTGCTGGCGGAGGCGCACCTCTGCCGCTCGGGTCTCAGCGGGCGGAGGTCTACTAGCGGGCGGAGTTCCTGTGGCTAGTAGAGGAGCTCGGACCCACGGCTGCCCGGAAGGCCGCGCGACGAGAGCCTCAGCATGACAGAAAATCCCTTCAGGTCCGAAGTCCGGCTGACACCGCCGCCGCCGCCACTCGCTGCGCCCTCCCGAGCCAACGAGGGCAGCGAGCCCGCGGCGCACCTGCACAGGCCAGGGGCGGCCCGCACGGCCACCTCAGCCGAGGCCCACGGCGGCTCCGCACCCCACACGTGTACTGAATGTTGTTTTGTTTGTAAAGTCTAGCAGCCTGGGAGGGATCGCCCGGCCGCTCCCGCGCATGCACCGGGCCCTCCAAGTGTACAGGTGCCCCAGTAAGTGTACAGGTGTACAGGTGCCGCCAACAAGTGTACAAAGAGGCACGGGCCGGGCTGCACGGGCGGACGGGCGCCCACGGCCCTCCCTCGCCGCCCTCACGCCCTCGAGTGGGCGGGGCTGGGGCGCCCGTTCCCTGGGCTGGCAGCGCCGCCCGTGCGAGCGTCCTAGGTGTGTGACAACCGTGACGTCATCCATGTTGTTTGTACCTTAGGCTACACAGGTGTCGTAGACACAACAGTATGTTTTCT